AGTAAATGACTTTACTAGTTAATCTTCAGTGTTAGTTATTGCAGCTTAATTTAGCCCTGTTTTAATTTTTTTAATTTGTTTATGCATACAAGAACTGGGGTGTAGGCCAGAGGTGCAGGGGGTGAGAGAATTCAGCAGAGACAGAGTGGGGAGCAGAACAGGCAGATCTACTAAACTACACTGCTGAAGGGAGCAGCGGGAGAGACAGGAGAGGTCTGCTGTGCCATGTGGGTTAGTTCCCTGGTTGGGGATTGAACTTGGGCTGCAGTGGCTGGCAAAAGCTTGAGAGCACTGAGACTTTAACCCCTTCATCACCAGGGAGGCCCAATTTAGCCCTGTTTTTAAAGTGAAGGACTAGAAATAGATTACCGTGCTCTGGGACTTTTTGAGACACATTTCTGCATGTCAGAGTCTATGGTAGCTCTTCTTACTGGGGACTTGGCTCACCTTGTAGGAATTCTCCCTGTGATTCTCTATGTTGTTAACAGCATAAGGAAACTTTGATGAGGTAGCATTTGTCGATGATCCTTTGATACTGCGTAAATATAATTTTTTTTTTGTGTGTGATGGCATTTGCCAGATTTTTTTTTTTTAATGTCCTTGTTTATTTTTTCACATTATAGGATTTCTCCCCCAGGTGCAGTCACCATAGTTTTCCCACCACCAAAGTGCCTACAGTCCACCACCACACTCCACCATGGTCCGCTCCACTGTTCTCTACTCCCCCTCCCCATCCCCCCCATCTCACATCTGTGGTCTGCTTTCAAGGGTCAGTATGTTTGTCTGATCCTTTGTTTTCTCTAGATTCCAACAAAAATTAAATCTTGAAATGAGAATCAGTGCTATGTAGGAGCTGTCCAGGGTTCTGATGAAAGACTGTCCATAGCCTAGACTGCCTGGGAAATGACCAGCTTCTCTCCCTCACATCCCCCTCACAATTTTACCAAAACATATATATATAAATAATTAAGGAACTTGTGCTACTGAGAACCAATATAATGTAAAACAAGTTGGAAATCATTTAATTAGGTATAGAATGTAATTTCTTTGTATTGAGTAACAAAGAAATCTGAAAAGTTCCAGTGATGTGCCTGCTGCAGTCTTTATTTAATTAGATTTTAAATTTCAGCCTAATCCTTAGGGGGTATATCATGAGTTGAGCTGTAGTCATATGAGTAAGGAAAGAAAGCAACAGCTTTGAGATTATCACTCAGCAAGGGCATGAAGGGAATTTTTTTTTTTTTTTTTTTACTAGAGGCAGACCCAGGACTTTGTAAAAGTTTTAAATTATGTAACATTTTGCATGCTTGTTATATTTTGGTATCTCCATGATGAAATATGAAATGACCCTGGCTTATTTTCCAGAACATCCAGGAGACAGTGAACTGAAACAATTGCTACCTTCTCCCCCCCCCCCACTCCCCAGAGCCTGAGTGTGACACCCAAGGGAGGGTGTGGGTGGGAGTAACTTTAATGAAGAAAAAAGCAGGCTGACTCCCTTGGACTGTGTGGGAAGAAAGTGAGGCCCGGGGGATCATCTAGCCCTGGAGAAACAGCTCCTGACACTGATAAGTGATTCAATTGAGAAAATAAATAAATAACCTCTGACTAACACCAAAGCCACAGTATTATACTGTATGCCAGGACAAGGAATTTTGTAGGTGGTGAATCCTTAGATCTTGTCCGAAGTGGAGTATTGGTAAAAAATGCAGACAATTTAATTAAAATAGATTCACTTGCCCTCATGTTGTCATAAGCTTGTTATCAGGTGTTAGGATATTATTTTTATCTCACCTTGCAGAGAATGACATGAGGAAATGCACACTTGTAGTTCCATGATTGTGGGATTTTTCCGTCTCTGTAACACACATTTGTAATACATAATTCATGGCAAGATTACTGAAATGGTAATTTTAGAGAACTTTGGCAAGAACTTCAAATTCAGTGAGATCTGACTAGTGTTATAAGAATTTGATTCTAATTAAAAACATATTTTTGACTCACAGAATAATAATGTTAAGAAAATTTTATTATGCTGTAGATTTTGTGTAGGAGAATTACTGTATGAAAATTTTCTCTCCCAGAGCCTTTTACCTTTTTGATTCAGGCATATTAAATTCTGAAATTTAATATGGTTATTACTGAATGATTTATGAATCTTAGTACTTATGGGGAAAATTAAGAATTTTAATCATTGGAGAAGAAAGTTATTTAAATTAACTTTCAGTTTATCTGCTGAATTGAACTCATCTATTTAAGCCATTATTGTATAATTTGAAATTTCTTCCATTCTTATAATATCTAAAACATCTCTTCTGGGATTCTTACTCATTTTAAAACATGTTTATTGTTTCTCTTGGGCAAGATGAATTCAGTATATGGGTTGGGACTTGAATTATTTCATTTTCCTTCTTGTTCTAAAAGGAAAGACTCTATAATCCATGTGACTTAATTGTGGGCTTATTTTGACATGATTTACTCCTTAGATTAAGAGTGACCTTCTCCACTACTCTTTTGCTATTTCCAGCACTCTGAGCAACAGTGGTGACTCATCACCATCAGTATGGTGGCTGGCTTCATGTTACTTTCTGAGGGGAAAGCATCCCTCTGGGTGAGAAATGAGCTCTGCTTTAGTTCTTGCCTCTCCCGCTTCTGTGGAAGGAGCACAAACGGGAGTCGAGCAGATGCTAGAGCAGACAACTGAAAGCAGGAGATGTCTAGGAAGTTCTTTGTTTCATCTTTATGCAGTTTTCAGTCTGTTTCACAAGTGGTTCAATGGTTGTAAAATGATGGTTTATCCTCCATTTTCTTCCCTCCAACCTCAATAAATTGATGTTTCAGAGAGATGTTTTAAGTTTATTTGTGACTCTATGTGCCCTGGACAGACCATTAAGTACCCTCGAGACCTACGTTTACTCATTTTGAGAAATGTGGACTTAGGAGATTCAAAACAGTTTAGTTGCACCTTTTGGGCTGTAGGTTTTAGATTCCTTCATGTCTAGAACTGTCTAGGTATATCACACTGGTTTCAGATATTGTACTCTCTAAATTATCTTTCATCTATTGGGACAAAATTCTGGGTCTTGCTGTCCTGTTTTAGGACCATTTATTTTATCCCTGATTACCATGCAGGTTTCCATTTGCTAAAACATTTGCTTTGTCCTTAATCTTTCCAATTTGATTTCCTTCCTAAAATATTTCTGTAAATGACTTTACTATTTCCTTGCTCACTAACTCCATTGACTTTCCTTTTTTCCCATTAAATTTCAGGCTTCTGGTTGAAGCTCATATATACCACCAAGTAAATTAACCCTAAACCTTAATCAGGTAATAACTGAAGCTCATATATACCACCAAGTAAATTAACCCTAAACCTTTATCAGGTAATAACTGGGTTTACAGAGCTGCAGAAACAACTTGCACATAATGTAGATGCAGAATCCCCCCCAAAGATGTATATAGATATATATATATTTCACAAAAATGATGTCGGTGTGCCTGCACCATGTGTGTACTGTGTGGGAAATATTCACATCCAGAAGCCCTTTTGTGGCCTTAAATACTTCTTTTCTGAGTTTCTTTATATTAATTTCTATCTTTAAATGTGATGTGCATGTTATCTTTCTTGTGTATCCCTAAACACTGAACGACTGTTGCAGGGCTGAGTGTAATCTACTTCGCAGTTTTGCAATCTAGATATTTTAATTCCCTTATTGGATTATAATTTACTGAAGGAGTTACAGATTATTTCCCTTTACCTTCCTTTTTTTTTTTCTTTTGAAGATGCAGCTTTTATTTTTAGGATTTATTTATATATCAGGTTGAGGAATCTCCACACAGCTTTCCATAGTGGTTGGACCAGTTTGCACTCCCACCAGCAGTGCAGGGGAGTTCCTTTTTCTCCACATTCTTGCCAACATTTGTTATAGCTAGTTTTTTTAATATGTGCCATTCTCACTGGTATAAGATGGTATCTCATTGTAGTTTTGATTTGCATTTTCTTGATTACAAGTGATGCTGAACATTTTTTCATATGCCTGTTGGCCATTTGCATTTCCTCTTTGGAGAAGTTCCTTTTTAGCTCTTCTGCCCATTTTTTTACTGGATTATTTTATTTGTTTTTGTGGAGTCTCATCAGCTCTTTGTAGATTTTTGTGATCAGTCCTTTATCATTAGTGTTGTTTGCAAAAATTTTCTCCCAGTTGGTGAGGTATCTCTGTTTTGGTTACTGTCTCTTTTGCTGTGCAGAAGCTCTTTAATTTGATACAAGCACTGGGGTACAGGTCAGAGGCACGGGAGGGTGAGAGAATTCATCAGAGACAGAGCAGGGAGCAGAACAGGCAGAAGGACCAAAGTACACTGTTGAGGGGAGAAGCAGGCAGGACAGGAAAGGTCTGCCTCACCGTGTGGGAATCTCTCTGGCTGGCCTGGAATTGAACTGACACTGCAGAGGCTGCGGACAGCCTTGCAGTGCTGCCCTCAACCCGCTGCGTCACCGGGGAGGCCCTTTACCTGCCATTTTTGAGGTAAATATAAATACACTTGACATTGAGTATATTGATGAAAATTTTTTTTTGGGTACTGTCTGTGAAGTTTGCTATGAAGTTTATACTTTGAGTACATGCATTTGGACTAGCCATTTTGGGAGCATTCAGTAGCCAGTGACTAGTAGCTACTGTATTGCATAGTGGTGATCAAATCCTGACTGATATAACCCATGTGTCAAAATTTAGAGACTTTATTGAATATATAGGAGGCTGTGCGATGGGGTCATAGTTTTCAATTTTAGCAAAATCTTGCTTCTCTTTTTCTTTTAAGTTAAATCAATTTATCTATAAATATCCAGACTGGTCAGCATTTTGTTTAATATGTGTCCACATATTTATATTCTTTTAAGAATGAACCTTTGGTAGTAGTAACTCTGGCACCTTGCTTCATATACAGTTGCATGCAAAATGTGGACAAGATGCTTAGCATCTCTGTGTTTGTGTGTTTTGCAGGCAGAGGGTACCCGACTTCAGCGAGAACTCCGAGGGTATTTAGCAGCTATCAAAGGTAATGTGTATGAGTTTTTCACTGCATATTGCCAAGCACAGGTTATTCTTGGAATTCAGCAGTGACAGGCTTGAGTGTTAATTACAAAGCCATTTGGCTTTGTGCAAGATGGGTACTTGAGACAGGTGTTCCATTCCACCCACTCCCATATTCTCATTGACATGATAACTAGAATATAAAAAGAAAAATATGCCTGCCCTTATGCTGGAAACTAGGAGTAAGTGCCTCTCACATGCCAGAGATTTCTAGGAAGAATTGTTAGATAGAGCAAGCTTAAGACCTTGTTTAAGAAAAGCTGCAGCTTATTTACATCCTATGGGAGAACATGTCCCAAGAGTAGAATGCTTACAGAGTCACACTTCATCCCTAGCTGGAAAAGGCAAGGTGTGGAAGCAGAGGCAGGTGCAGGGTTATCAGGAAACAAGCTCTGAAGTGCCTGTTACTTGGTGGAACCAGCTGCTCTTGCCACCCTGCTACTGTACAGGGAAAGAAAGTTCCTGGCATTGGTTTCTGACCTCAGTTATGCAAGTAAAGAAATAAGGCTGCTGTTGGAGGTAGGAGAACATAGGGAGGTGTACCCCATCTCTGCTTGCATAATTATTCAACTCCCTGCACTGAGTCAGATCCAGTTGTACCCATGGATGAGATAGCTCACAGGCAGATTTTGAGATTATTTGGGAGAGAAAACAGATCATCTTCAAGTGTTCTTGGATAAACTGGCCAAATAATTTTTAAAAAGTGAGATTTCTAGCCTCACACTTTATTCCCTCCTCAGTTCTAGATACAGTAAATATTCAAATGTGTATATAAAGAGTTATAAATGCACTAGAATAAAATAGTTTCTGATGTTAGATGACAAGGTCTTCCAGAAAGTATAAATCAAAAGATTGAGTCATTTGACTACATAAACATACAGTGTCCTTACATACATTTTGACAGCACAGTTAATGAGTGAGCTGAGATATAAAGGGCTCAGCAAGTAAGTTAAGTCATGACCTGTTGATTAAAAGAAAAAATGAGTAGAACATTTGAAGAAAAAATTAGCCAAGAAAGAACTACAGATAGATAACAATTGTAAACTATTCTTATACTCTTGAGTAATCAGAGAATATTGTAAAAAATCAAATTGGGGTGCCATCATTTTTCTTCCAAATGTTCAAAGACAGTAAGGCATTTTTTAAAAGAAGGTAATACCTCGAATTGGAAAAAAGCAATGGGAAGAAGACTCATTTTAAACACTTTGGTAGGAAAGTTTTCCTGGAGAGCAGTTTGGCAAAATTCCTTGAGTGCTTTTTTTGACGTGTTTTTTGATATAGCAGGTAAATTTCTAAAAATCTATCGTAATGGTTTCACTGTGAATGTGTGAAATTTATTACAGTTATTGATAAATAGTGAAAAAATACAATCTTAATTTAATTAGACATAATAATAAGGATTAGTGAAATTAATTTTTAAACTAAAAATGTATTTAAATCGTTTCATGGGCCTCCCTGGCGGCACAGGTGGTTGAGCACCGCACTGTGAAGCTGTCCACAAACTCTGCAGTGCCGGTTCAATCCCACATGGTGAAGAGAATCCCACATGGCTAAGCAGACCTCTCCTGTCTTGCCTGCTGCTCTCCTCAGCAGTGTACTTTGTCAGTCTGCCTGCTCTGTTCCCCAGTCTCTCTCTGGTGAATCCTCACCCTCCTGCACATCTGGCCTGTATACCCCGGTTCTTGTATAAATAAATAAATCTTAAAAAAAAAAAAAAGAAAGAAAGAAAGAAAGAAAAGTGAGGTAAAAAGAAGTTAAATGACTTATCCAAGGTCAAAGGCCCACTAATCAAGAGAACCAGGATACATACTCTGGTCTGTGTGTTTCCTGAGGCCTTACTTTTGTCCATTGCCATATACTACCTTTGAATGTTATGACCATTGGTAGGGCTTTCTTTTCACTAATTATGGCTCATCTATACAATGGAGTAATGACAACTTACTACTATTACTTAAAAACACATTTTTTTTCCTTGGATTAATATTTTTGACTGATTTTTTTGTTGAGTTAACATGGGTTTACATTACTGTACATAATTTAGGGAAGAGGTTCACACCCCTTCAGATGTATGTTACCACATCCCACCCTCCACCAAGGCACCCAGTCTTTGAACATAGCTCACCAGGCACCCCCTTTGCTCCCACCCCTATGTTCCCCCTTTAGTAGCCTCAATTTAACATTCATATTTCTAGGGTTTGTTTGGTTTAGTTTTTGTCAGTTCCTTTGTTTTGTTTCTCCATATTCCCATGAATAATCTGGTGTTTATCTCTCTCTTTCTGATTTAATTTGCTTAGCATAATCTCCTTCAGTTCCATCCATGTTGTCACAAATGGCAAGATTTCATCTTTTTATGAGCACTTACTACGTGCTCTCCTGTGTTCTAAGCATCTCAGACACACTACCTCTTTTTAAACTTCCAGCACATCAATATAATAAATGTCATCAGCCTATTTTATGTTTGCAGAGAATTTAACTTCCACAAATTCATAGATTTCATAATTAGCATTTTGAGAAAAATTTACAGTTATAACAATTTAGCCGTAAAATAGAAGGCACTTTGAGTATTTCTTTCATGATTGATTTAGGATTTAAATGCAAAAAGTCACACAGTAATTCAAGCACAGTATTTTCTGTTAGCTGATTTTTTTTTTCTTTTTTCTTTTTTTTGCCATGGGTGCATTTGTTGAAAGACTGTATGCATTTGATCTCTTTTCCAGGGCTTTTGTTATTTTACCCCTTATGGAGAATGCTGTTGTTTAGAAAGACTGGCATAATTCCCTTTCTTAATGTGGTATAGAAGGAGAATTCCCTGAGTGATGTTAGCTCCGGAGAGATACTGGGTGGATTGCCTAGGCAGCCCTCCTCTGGTACTGTGCCATCTTCACCCCTTGTGATGTGAAGGCACATCCCCACAGCAAGGAGGAAGGGCTATGTCAGCTTTTACACAGTGCATTTGGCTGACTGAGTGATGGGAAGTCATACGAAAGGTCTGTGTTTACATTACTTTGGTCAAGGCAGGTTGGAATGAATTTTTAAACAAGTTCCCTAAGGTGATTATCAGAGTTCCTTAATACGCTAATATATAATCTCTAGCAGTCCTGTGTTTGTAAGCAACATTTGCCAGTAATTTTTTGTTATGGAATGCTTCTCAAAGTTTTAGTATTCCTTGGAGCACATTTTTGGTATTGGGAACATACTTTAAGATAAGGGTTATGTGTTAAGTAGATCATACTTTGCATTTTCAGAGTGCTGTATGGCCAATTTTTCTGGCTTCACAAGAAGAACTCTAACTAACTGTACTCTAAGCCAGGCAGCATGCTAGCAATATTGTGGAGGAATGAGAGCCGGCCCTGCAAAGTCATAGGCCCTCAATCTGAGACCAGGGGCAATTGTGAGAAAATCACCAAGTCTCTCAGCTGCCTTGGGTTCGTCATCTATAAAGTGTGCCCCCGTTGCTCTCTGAAGCCCCCAAAATCTCTACCACTGGAATTCTGTGAAATTGTGTTAGGTAACTACTATTCCTCTTATTATCACGGATCTCTGAGAGGTATCCCCTTGTGCAGGTCTTTGTTATTTATGCTGCTGCTTGGCCTTTGCAAGGGGAATTTTATGTTCTTACTTGTTTAACAGCAAGTGTCTCAGAGAACCCTAATTATGGGCCCGATACTATTCTAGAAGATGGAGATACAGAGATGAACATGATATACACCTACTCTCAGGAAATTCACAGTAGAGTTGTGGAGAATGTTGACTAAACAGAAAGGCCAGATGTGCGCTGTGTGCATTGTGCATTGTGTGCTATCACAGATGAGGATGGGCCCCCTACCTTACAGAAGAGAAAGGGTGCCAGGTCAGGAATGGTCCTTCTGGAAACTCACAGTTGAATGGCCCCAGAAAGGGAGCATTTTGATTTTGGCAGGAGTTTCCAAAGTAAAGGAAACAACATGTATGAAGACCTAAGAGGTAGGAAGAAGCATGAACTCTTTAGGGAACATTTATATCAGTGGAGATCAAGTAGGAAACTGAGCTGGATGAGATGTAGAAAGGTAGGCAGCATTTATGTAAAGAAGTGTTTATATATTACATCCTACTTGGAGTTTTATTCTGTCAGTGGGGCAAGGGTCATTACATTATTTTAGACAAGGGAATGAGTTACATGATCAGATTGGCATTGTAGAAAAAGTAGTTATTTTAGTTGTATGAAATTAAGACTAGAAGAAATGAAACTGCAAAGATAATTCTTAGAAGTCTTCCCAGTAGTTTAATAATAACAATAGCTAACATTTATTGAGCACTTAAGTGCCAGGTGCTGACATGTTTTTTTCCTGCCTTACTTCATGTATTTCTCATTACCACCTCTAGCATTAATTATTATAATGTACTGTTTGAAAAACTGAAATATGAAATATTTAGGTAATTTAATTAAGATAGTATGTATGGAACCAAGATTTTAACAAAGACTGAATGATTGCAAATAATAGTCTTAATTATTATGCCATACAGCTTCCCAAAATAGTTTCCTTATAATGGCTGACATTTGAATATTTGCTACATGTAAATACTTTGCTGAACCATTTAAATGGATTATTTCATTTGGTCTAAATAATAGACAATGAATGTGTAATCCAGGGTGGTGACAGTGGGATTGGAAGGAAAGTCTTTGCTTGAGAATCACGGAAGGTTGGTGAGCCTTGGTGACAAATTCAGTGTGGGAGGATGAATCTAGGATGAGTTCAGGTTTTTAGCTGGAATAATTGGGTGACTTTCATATCAGTTGGGAAAAGGAGTAAAAGCAGGGTTTGGCAGGAAAGTTGTGAGGTTGTTTAGGACATTTGAAGTTTGAGGTGCTCATTGGACTTTCAAGTGGAGATGTGTAGTAGTGATTTGGAATGAGGAGCCACTGGCATGTGGGTTGCAGTGGATGCCAGACATGGGGAAAATGAACACGTTAGCTCTCTCCAAATACAGGGGACACGATGTGGTATAAGTGATATTTGTTAGTTGTGGCTTGTTGTTACATGTAAGCATGACCCACTGAGCAATCTCATATTCCATCATTTTCCCCACCATGATTTCCTCTGTACTTGCTCCTTGAGACTCCAGAAGAAAGACTTCCCTTTTTGCTCTCCCCTTAGGCAACTGTTATCTTCTTAAGTAGCTCTCTTCTAAACAATGGGCAAAGCTGCTAGATACTTGAAATGTTTTAGATTTTTTTTTCAATAGTCTGCAGCTCCTCAGCAGGCCCATCGTGTATTTTAATTATGTTATTTTAAAATAAAATGCATACCCCCAGAGTGTGGAAGCAAAGAGGATTCTTGTAGATGTGCAATCTCTGCAACCAATCTGAGAGAATGAAAACAGGAGTTTGCACATTTCATTGCATTGGATGTGGAGGGTGTTAAAATAAATACCTTGGAGATGATCCAAAATTTTTAAGAGAGGGAAGTGATTCCTATCAAATAGTAAAATAATAATTCCATGTATGATGTTGAACACTTGTCTGACAGTTTTGGAAATCACTAATTTTTTTTGGAAAATATTGGGTTTTAGGTACTGTTAAATGCCAATGGTAGCTTTTAGATCTTTTGCTTTAATGTTGTTAAATTGTTTTGAAGAGAACTTGGATTTTAGCTCTTTATCCCTCTTATGCTATCCCTCTTATGCAGAGTGAGTTCTGAAACCCCCAAGTTTCTGCCAGTCTCTATGTTCCTTTAGTACAAAGTTTGTCTGTTCACCTGTGTATCCATCTGAATATTTCCTTCCAGTGTTCTAAAGCATTTTTTATGCCAAAATAATTTATTTCCAAATTATCCATCACTGCTTATATGCACAGAAATTGGTAGTTGTTTTTGACCACAAATAAGGCATTTACTACAACACTGTGTTTTAACCCCCATTGCTAGAGGACTTCTATAATTTGATTTTAAGTTTCCATTCGTTGTTTTCTTTTTCACCACAAGGTTACTTGTCCTATAATGCCCTCATTTCTTCTTCCTCCTAAGACATTGTGAAGAATCTATGTATACAGCTGTTTCACTTCCATCAGATATAAGACAAATATTTAAAAGAAAACTATAGATGCCTTTTGGTATTTGAATTATAGACGGGATCAACTCTTGACTTTTTGGTGTGAACTTGAGGCGTATGCTTCTTTCTATGGATTTGCTTGGATTTAGGGAGAGGTAAATGTGGGAACCTGGCATTATACTGTTGCTGCCACCTTAGCAGTGACCACATACAACCCCAAGAGAGAACATTGTCACAAGGACACAGGTATAGGTTTTTGCATTGTTTCTTGCCTGTCTCTACACCTCCACCATAATTTCTTTCATCAGTACCCTCAGGAACTTGAGTCATCAAGGTCTTTATCCTATCCTAGCCTGCTGGGGTTTCATCTGTGTCTGCCAATTCCTTCCGGTCAGTAAATGGCACTTCTTCGTAAATGGCATCCTTCAGTGTGCTCAGGGATGCGTGTCGTGCAGAGAAGTTTACAAATTTCCATGCCTCATGTGACCCCCCCCAAAAAAAAATGTTCAGGACTCTAGTATGCAAAGACCAAATATATACCTGCATCTTATCAGTGGAAGAAAGTGGATGTTTTGCACTTAGAGTGAAATACCAAATTGTATTGTAGATTTCTATGCATAGCCCTCAAGTATACACCTCTGTGTCTTCAGATATTTATATATTTATATTTTATTTTGTCCTTTACTCTCACACTTAAACCCAGAATTGTCTACCTTAGATGTAAAAGCATATGGGTGAATTTCGAGTTTTGCCAGTTTCAGTTTAACAAAAACTGAGCATCTCTGATTCACTGACATCAAGTTTATGAGATGTATTTTTTATCTCTAATGATAACACTCTTGTTTTTTCCTCTGATTTTTCTTTCCTCTCCATTTATTTTTTTAAAAGATTTATTTATTTACACATACAAGAACTGGAGTATAGGCCAGAGGTGGGGGAGGTGAGAAGATTCACCAGAGACAAAGTGGGGAGCAGAACAGGTGGATCTATTGAAATACACTGCTGAGGGGAGCAGCGGGCGAGACAGGAGTGGTCTGCTGCGCCATGTGGGTCACCTCCCTGGCAGGGGATTGAACTCATGCTGCAGTAGTTGCAGATTGCGTCATAGTGCTGACACTTAACCCCTTGCACCACCAGGGAGACCCTCCTGTCTGTTTACTCAGTCACTTTTCCTAGCCCCTAGCAACTAAAGTCAACTCAAGCAGGTCTCACCTTCCAGTTGTTGGAGAGTTGGGTGCCAGAGAGTCACTTCTCCAGGTCAGCAGCTGCAGAACTGCCTTGTTCTGTTCTCAGCCCTGAACTGTGTCCCTGGCAACCCACTCTATGTTTTGAAGGGGGCCTGGAGAAGAGCCTGGAAAAGACTCAGTGGTACTTAATGTCACCATATTGCTCTCAGGAACATCTTTCCCATTGATAACCATGTTTTTGCAACATGCTCAGCATATCTCACATGAGAATTTTGACTTAAGAATTCCAAGCTTCCTGAGAATTCTGATTTAAAACTCTATTTAGCAGTTAGTAATATTGGAAAAAGAAAACCTTCTTCTTTTGAAACTTTTTGGGTCACTTCAGTTACTTTCAACTTTTATACCCTAAAACCTGTTGGTTTTGCATTTACCTGGTTCTAAAAACATGGTTTACTTAACATTTAAAATGGTTTAGGATTACATTTCTTTTTAGAACTCTTGTCATTCGTGGGTAAGTATTCTAGGTGCCCTATACATTTACAATGCACTTATTAGGACACATAATTATTGTTGCTTTCAGAATAAGACACATTTTTTTGATTTCTCCAATACCTAGTATCATATAAATAATAGAAAATGTGCAATGTGGTCAGGTAAGTTCAGAGCCTTGAAGCCATGACTGCAGATGCTGGAAGTAGTTATGCCTTCACAATTTTTCCCTAAAGATTTTTCTCTCATTTAGAAAATGGGAAGAAAGAAGCAGCTCCTCACTCATTTCTGTCTAACGGAGGTTGTTTTTCTTCAGGTATGCAGGAGGCCTCAATGAAGCTCACCGAGTCACTGCATGAAGTGTATGAACCCGACTGGTATGGACGGGAAGATGTGAAAATGGTCGGTGAGGTAAGAACTGGCTTGGGGCACGCAAAAGGAGTGGGGTGACTTCTGTGAGGCCCCCCCTATCCCCTCAGCCCCTAATGACTTCCTGAGGGGACACATTGTACCCACAAATCACCATGCTATTCTACCCTCTGGATGGTCCCAAATTTACAGTAATGGGTAAATGTAGTTCTAAAACTACTGGGATAGAAAGCAGTGGGTGAAAGATTGTTTTTCTTCAAAATAAGAAAAACATTTTCAAATGTAAAAGACAACAAAATAAAAAGAAACCCTTAGGTTTTGACAACAAAATATGATTACAAGAGAAGGGGGTTATTGGGGGTGGGTGGGAGGATCAGATAGAGAGGTTTAGTAAGATATGGCGAATGCTACTAGAAATTTGGCAGTGGGTGTGGTGTGGTCCGTGTACTTACAGCATGTGAAGCAGTATACCTGAAATGTGTGCAGTGTTGTAAACCAGTGTTATATCAATTAAAAACAAGATTGTTAATAGTTATATGAACATGGCTTTAAATACAGTGTTATTTCAATAATTGGAACTTCTTCCCATGTGTTAAGTCTTTATCAAAGTGTTTGGAGAAAAAAATAGCTTGCTACAATGATTTAACAATCCATTGCAGCATTGGTGGGGGCTGACTCAAGGCATGAATTTGTGCATGGCCTTCACCCTGCTCTCCCGCTTTCATCATCCCCTGGAAAAGCAGGGACAGGAGCTCAGAACAGCTTCTGTTTCACTTGACATTAGCTAATCCATTTGCTGGTCTGCAAAGCCTGCGAATAGAAACTTTTGGAAAGCTTTGTCCATAGACATGACTTAACACCTGAAGTCCAGTGTCTGGGTGAGTGCCTTCTGTCTGGCAGGGAGTGAGAAAGTGGCCATTGCCGTTTTGAGGAAGGGAGAATGGGGTAGAGACCAAGAGCGGCTCTTTCTGACATTGACAGGTTCTTTATTCTTCCCAGGCTTTAGCTTCCTCGTCTGCAAACATAAGAGCAATGATTTTACCTACTGAGAGCATACTTCAGGCTTATGAATTTATGTCATCAGCATAGGGCATGGTTCTTGAACTTAGAAAACCACCCTCAGAGGTTCTGTCACGTCCAAGTTTCTTGTTCAAACAAAGAACATTTGTCTGTCATTCCTACTTCTGGTGAGTTTATTGCTGTTCATTTAGGTGCAGAAGACCTCAGAGATGTCAGCACAGCTCAGGGAGGATTTGATGTGTGATGACCTAAGTGTCTGGGTGGCCTTTGGAAAGATGGGATAACACTGTCCGTGGGCTTCTCCATGGCAGTTCTCACATCCCCACATTGAGTTTCTTGATCCCTCTGTCACTGAGAAAAACGGATTGTGTGTGTGTGTGTGTGTGTGTGTGTGTGTGTGTGTAAATCTCTTACTGGCTGTTCCCTCTTTTAAAACTATCAAGATAAGAATTTGGCAAAGCCAGCACCCACACATCCAAAAAAATTAAGTAATAGCATCTTCCATATTTCTTCAATAAAGACACTGTTTCTACACATGTTGTGAAATGTTTAACTCATTTTATAAATTTCTGATTAATGTTTTGTAATTAGAAATTCATCATGAAAAGAAGAGTTTTAAGGGAATAATAGAAACTTGTGTTGTGACTCCTCAAAGCACTGTGTTACTTCCTATGTATCAGATGGTATGCTTATTCCTAAAGAAAATGTCTGCTATCTACCTTGGTCTCTGCAACTGCCAGAAGTTTTAGAATCTTCACTTGCAGATTCACATATGGGCTCTTTTGATGGTGAAAGGACTAACACTGCATGTTCAGAGGGTTTTCTTACATAATAAGATCAGTCCTTTTTTATTTTACAGAAGATTAAATTTTTTGCATAAAAATCTTGATTTTTGCTTATAACAATTAGGGTTCATTTTTGAAGTGTGAAAAAGAAACATCAGCTCTCATTTCTTCATGCCAGTCAGCAAGAAGGAGTATGTGTGCAGGATAATCCTGGTTCTTCCTTTTAGGGACACTGGCTGAGACTACATTCCATGGGCCAGAACTTAATCTGCTGGCTACACTTAGCTGCAGTGAAAGCTGGGTAATAATATCTGTGTCAGCAGCCATCTGCTTTGCTGAGATTGGAGGTTCTATTATTCAGAGGAAAGAAAGGGTAGATATTGGGAAAACAGTAGATTCTGCTGGGATACCCCAAATACAGTAATGGGAAAAATGTGAGAGGACATTCTTGATCACCTGTTTTGTGCTTGGGACTGCACATGTGAAATGCTTTATATTGTCAGCTGATTTAAGTGGGGAATTTGAAACTCAGGGAAGTTCACTTTTCCAGAGTCACACAGTGGGGTGTGTGAACCCTGTTTTGGTGAGGCAGGCTGTGTAATAGATCATGGACTTTGAATTCAAGGAGCACACTTGGGATGATATTAGTCTGTCACTTGTCAGCTGCATGACTTTGGCCAAGTTATGTAACATCTCTGGGCCCATCACTTTTCTATAGAGTGGCAACAAGAAGAATTTCTTCACATAGTGAGAATAGTGGTAATAGTAGTAGTAGTAGAACTTGTAGTGATATCTAATATTCAGTGTGTATTTATCATTGTTAGTACTCCATAAATGGTAGGGCTTTTCCTAATATAACTACATATTTTTTTCTTTCTCGGTGGAGACTTATGGAATGCTTTATTGTTTTTCTGGAGAGCTTCCTAATTTCATGGATTGCTCCAGAAGCTGGCTGTCTCAGTGGAATTCTTTACAATTTCTTAGCCTCAAAGCCTATCTATAGAGATCTAGGGACCTCTTGGAGCTTCTGCGTTCTTTAGTAATTGATAATCAGATACATTTCTTAATGAACTGAAACCTTAGCCTATATTAATAAACTAAAACTGGTTTCCAAATTGTCTTGAAGTTTTATTATATTATATAATCCACATTCATTCTAGAAACTACTATCTGGGGAAATACTACTTACCTAATTTTATAGTTTCAGATTTTTTTTTTAGAAGTTTGGTAAAAGGTATTAAAAGGTATTCAATTAAACTAACTCTGCAGTTATATCTTCATTTCTGTCTCTCTCTCTCTTTTTTTTTTTTTTCCCAGAAATGTGATGTACTATGGGAAGACTTCCATCAAAAACTAGTAGATGGATCATTGTTGACACTGGATACCTATCTTGGCCAATTTCCTGACATAAAGGTATTTTACTTTGTGTCTAGAAAGGGAAGAATCAAATGGTTTATTGAAACATGGGCAAGAAATAGACATTGAAAGTCTTCACACTGACATCAAGGAGAGTTGGTAACTTTATCCTGTTCCTATCAGTTTGAAATGTACTCATAGAAATCACATTTTACCTTTTAGTGAACTGTATTAGTTATTCTCTCCAGAAGTCATTTAATCCTATAGACATAAAATCATACATCAGAGGCTACAAAACATACCAAACTTTTGTATCTTCAAACATTTTTATTATACAGCTTTTGACAAGAATTTCCATTGGAGGGTCAAGGTCCAGGTAAAGACTTATTACAAACATGAGAGCAAAATCTGACATTTCCTTATTGGCTATTTATTTTGCTTGTGTTCATATCACACCTGTGTATTTTTTCTCTTAAAAATTTCAGGGTCCAGTTGAACTTTTAAGATAATAAGCATTTCAAACACATTTACATCTGGATCTAAAAATGTCTAAAATATTTGTTTTATTTGACACTTGATACTTAGATTTCTTAAAACAGAAATAACACAAGTGAAGGATTGAACATCATAGGTTTGAATGATTCTGGAGTTAAATATAGTTTTTAAATCCTCTAGATTGTATATAGTAAATAGTAGAATTAATATATTTGCTGCCCCGGCCCCCGTTATTTTTCATACTCAGAAAAGAGTGCCGGGTAAAATAACTATATGCTTCTTCTCCTATAGGGTGAGGAGCCCGTGAATCAGAATTCAGGTATCTCTGTTTCTTACCAAGTGACTTCTAATGCAAAGTTCTATTCTTACTTCCCATCTTTGTAGCCATTGTCAAATACCAGGAAACAATCTGCAGTAATTACACTGATCTTAGCCCTAAAACAGAGCGGTACTTCCTGGCTAAAATAGCATTCTTATCAATGATGTTAGTTCCTTTGGTCCCACACAGGACCCTAACACTAGTTGAACAACATACAAAATGTGATTTGGGGCACCAGGAGCACTTGTCCTACTAGATAAGAACCCAAGTGGATCAGACCAGGTTCTTTTTTTAAAGATCTATTTTTATTACGCATATAAGAACTGGGGTATAGGCCATAGGTGCAGGGGGTGAGAGGATTCAACAGAGACAGAGTGGGGAGCAGAGCAGTTGTATCTACTGAAATACACTGCTGAGGGGAGCAGCAGGCAAGACAGAAGTGGTCTGCTGCACCATGTGGGTCAGCTCCTTGGGCGGGGGATTGAACTCATGCTGCAGTGGTTTGCCATAGCTTGGTAGTGCTGAAACTTTAACCCCTGGACTACCAGTGAGCCCCCAAATGATGGATTCTTTATGGTATTAACATCATAGGTAGCAGAACAACTTATTGAACCATTGTATAATTAATTCTAATTAAGAGATATAAATAAGTTTTTTTGTAATTTTCTGAGAAATTTTATATTAAAAATTTTAAAAATTCGGTAAGGTCACATGCATTGATTTGTAGGAATGGTGTTTTGGGGTATCTTAAGATTATTTAATAGATATTAAAATTTTATCTTGGAAATTGTATCACTTGTGCAGCAGTCTCAGAATTATTATCACACTTAGAATATCATTTATTAAATGGTAATTTGATCTCCATAAAAATCCCAATAAATTAGAAGAGGATAAGTAGAAACTATCATTCCACTTGAAAAGTACAAAGCACCTATGACTTATCTAAATTATTCATGAAATATGAATTCATAGTATGATTTAGGTTAGCAAATGAAGGCTGTCATGGCCTAGAGGAGAACCCATTTGAAAAACTGTTGAGTTTCAGGAACAAAAACATAGTGTCATCAATAAAATATGAATCATCTTATTTTACTTATGGTACTGCCCAATGTTACTTGAAAACTTGCTGTAGTCTCTAAGAGGATATAATTTTGGAGAACAAATACATACAGAAGTACTTATGTTGACCCATAGAGAGATTAAAATGAAATCGTAGCAGAATATATTGGTTAGCTTTTTTCAGTTTGTTCCATGTCAGAAAGATGACTCCCTACAACTATTCATTAGGCAGTTCTTTTCTTGGAATCCATGGTTTAGGTCATGCACTGAAGGTAGATGAAATAGTTTGTCCTGGTTTTACCTGCATCATGAAGAGAGGCAGAAACGATCTCTCTCTTTCTTTGAGGGCACAGTTAGAATGTCACAGCAAGCACATAGATTACCAATCAGGATAGAGAGTTATGAAACCAATTCATATGAACAGTTGTTGAAATAGTAATGTTTAACTTAAAAAAAAAAAAGAATTGGGGCCTCCCCAGTGGCGCAGCAGGTTGGGCGCAGCAGGTTGAACACAGTGCTGTGAAGCTGTCGTAGTCTCTGCAGCACGGGTTTGATTCCCGGCTGGCCAGAGAGATACCCACATGGTGTGGCAGACCTCTCTTGTTTCACCTGCTGCTCCCCTCAGCAGTGCTTTCGGTCCGTCTGCCTGTTCTGCTCCCTGCTCTGTCTCTGGTGAATCCTTTCACCCTCTCGCGCCTCTGGCCTATACCCCAGCTATTGTATAAAAATAAATAAATCTTAAAAAAAAAAGATTTATACAAGAACTGGGGTACAGGCCAGAGGCACGGGAGGGTGAGAGGATTCACCAGAGATAGAGCAGGGAACAGAACAGGCAGAATGACAAAATACACTGCTGAGGGGAGCAGCGGGCACGACAGGAGAAGTCTGCTGTGCCATGTGGGACCCTTGCTGGTCAGCCGGGATCTAACCAACGCTGCGGAGGCTGCGGACAGCTTCACAGCAGGGCGCTCAACCGCCTCTGCCACCTGGAGAGGCCCTAAAAATAAATAAATCTTTTGGCCTCCCCGTTGGCGCAGCGGTTGAGTGCTGGGCTGCGAAGCTACCCACAGCCTCTGCAGCGCCAGTTTGATCCCCAGCTACCAGTGAGCGTCCCACATGACGCACAGACCTCCCCTGCCACGCCCGCTGCTCCCCTCAGCAGGTGCTTCGTCAGTCTGCCTGTTCTGTTCCCTGCTCTGGCTCTGGTGAATTCTCTCACCCTCCCATGCTTCTGACTGTACCCAGTGCTTGTATAAATAAATAAATAAATCTTTTAAATCAATCAACCAATCAATCAATAAATAAATCTTTTTTAGAAAAGAATTAAAAAGGAGCAAAAAAAAATTGTGGGACCAAAAGAAAAAAAAAGGAGAGCTAATTTTAATATTTCAACAATTTTTCTTCTGTGAAGATGCTCTGTAATTATTCTATGTGCCATTACACTGTAGATGAAAGTTAAAAATGGATATGGATACATTGCTTCATAAATTGGTGCCCAGTAATTATGTAGTGAATGGACTATTCGTGGAATAAGTTATTGATGATTAAATATAGGAAGTGGAGAATTTTCAAAGCATGGACCTGACTCCAGTTGAAGTCAACAGGCCATGTGTAGTTAGAACCTCAGGCAAATTTCCAAATATTTACTGTCGCCCATCAATCAGGGCTCCAGAGTATCATTCATGAGGGAATAATGTTTGACTTTCCCAACTGTGATTGTCAGGGCACCCAGTGTTACGGTTTTCATTATATAGAACTGACATCTGAAATCGACCTTATATAAGACTCAGCTTGTCACCAACCCAGGCAGACTTATAACTGTGAGCATTTATTGTAAAATGTAGTTTGAATTCTAGCTTGGCAACTAGGCATGAGCAACTAAATGTGTATTTACAGCAATGTGCCAAAGTGAATTCCAAGTTGGGGTTACTATTGAAACAAAAAAGGTAGAATAAATTATTTTCTTCACTGCAGAAAGCCAGTGCATTTGGAAAACCTGAAGCAATTTTAATCAAACTAATGAAATTACTATTAAACTAGTAATTTTTTAAATTAAATTTTTACTATTAGTTAAATAAGAATTTTATCATTTTCTACATTAAGGATCAAGTGTCCACCCTTACTTATGACATCTGGTTCTTTTTTTCAAGTTTTCCAAATATCAGATAAAGATAAAAGACTGACTTGTTTTTCCACCATTAAAATGTTGCATCAAAATGAGTGATAGCCTTCAAAACAGTCACTTCCACCATGGTAGTCTCTACTCTGTATTTGATCTGTCAATTATACAAGAAAATGAGTCACTGTTTACTTCTTGATTTTGAACAAAAAATAAGAACACCCAGTGCACTCTTCTACTTTATTCCAAAGCTTGGAAGTAATTGAATTTTTGGCTCTTTTCAAAATGAAATTCATCTTCAGAAGAACAAGAGTTGCTTCTTGGAAGACATTAGAGGAGATTCTGTTCCTTTGCTTTCCCCCCACCCCTACACCAGTACACAAAACAAAATAGCTGCATAAGAGTCTGCATATAGATACACTACTAGGTCACTGCTCCAAGAGAAAATACTAATGGGGCCTCTCTGGTGGTGTAGGGTTTAAGTCTCAGTGCTATCACCACCAAGGCCTGAGTTCCATCCCTGGCCATAGAGCTAACCCACATGGCACAGCAGACCTCTCCTGTCTTATCCACTGCTCCCCTCAGCAGTGTATTTCAGTAAATTCTGCTTTCTACTCTGGCTCTGGTGAATCCTCTCATCCCCCACACCTCTGGCTTAGACCCCAATTCTTCTATGCATCAATAGATAAATAAATATTTTAAAAATAGAAAATACTCCTTTGAAAATAACATCTTTACAAAAAATATTTGTCATCACATAGGCACACTGTCCATCAATAGCTCAGAGGGGCTTCACTCTGCCCTGCCTTGGCTAATTCATCACATGCCATTCACATGAATGTGGTATCTCAGCCATATATTCCACTACTCACTCAGTTTGAAGATGTAGATGCAGAGGATTAAGTGAAAGAGACTAGAAGCAACTAAATGAGAATAACTTCTCTAGGCCACTACTCACCTATGTGGAAGGGGGTGTAGAGCAATAGCATAAAGTGACAGGTGGTAGCTGAATGATAGAGTCAGAAGTAGAACCAGGACAGGAAGAGACAAGTGAGAGCACAAGGATTCAAAATATCAGGAAGGACCTACTGTGAGTTGCTGACATTGTGCTTACATGACCTTGAGAATGAGGCCTTCTGAAGTTCTGTGTTGCAGGCATCTCACTTGCTTTGCCCTAATCTTGGTACTTGTAGGAGGCTAATACCTCATTCATCTTTTGCAACGGGGTTTCTGAACAATTTTGGGTAGCTTAGAGGTTAACCTTAGGCACCTTGAAATTACCTACATGTAAATGGGAATTATCCATGCATCATCTTTACTATAGGTTGCTATCAGGAGCCGTGCATGTGACTGTCTTGTAAGCTATAAGCATTTATATATTTTTTCACCCTATCAAAGTTAAGAGTCTTCTTCATTGATTCTCAGTATTAGACTGGCTGGGCATAATGTACTACTGGAATCTTTTAGTAAAGAATAGATATGTGAGCCTTGTCTCAGATGAAATTAAATCAGTATCTTTTAGTGTGGGGTTCAGAAATTAGTAAATTTTATAACTACTTATTATTTATACTTCTTTATGTAACTTTCATTTCTAGTGGTTATCCTGCAGTTTAACTCATCTCTAACTTAAGTCTGACTTCAAATAATGTTATAGCACAGTATGTAGAGATAGTTTTAAAAACCTTTCATCATTATACATCTAATGGACGTTAACTAAATTTACTGTGAATGTTTCATAATATGTGCAAATATTGAATCACTCTGTTGGACCCTTGAAATTAATATAGCATATATGTCAATTATACATCATTTTTTAGAAAAAATATGCTTCTAGTTTTCTGCTCTTTATGCTGTTATTGTCATACATTTTTCCTTTTCATATGTTATAAGCCTCTTAAGACAATTTTTTCTTCTTTGCTTTGATTAACAGTTACCTTTTCAAGTAATTGAAAGTAGGAAAGAAAACTTGTCTGTTTTCCTTGATTTTTATCACTTATGGTGATGATATTACTCATTTCTTTGTATAGCTCTGCTTAGTATTAAATTTCTTATGCTAGAAATATATTCTATTAGCAATTTTCTGGAAAAAATGTTTTACCTTTGCTTTTGAAAAAAACTATTTTCACTGGGGCTAGAATTCTGAGTTTGCAAATTTCTTTTTATTTTTAATAATTTAGTACTTTAGGGATATTACTCCATAGTGGTTTTGCTTGCCTGGTTTATGCAGATTAATCGTATCTTTGAACTTTGTTTTTCTTTATTCTTGACTTTAAGCAGTTTGATTACACCATATCATAATGAACTCTATTTGGAATTTCTCCTCCTTGGAGTTCTATGAGTTTCTTGGTTATGTACTTTGATGTCTTCACTATCTCATAATTTTTTCAGCCTTTGCCTCTCCAAATATTTTTCTGATTCCCTCTTATCTCTTCTTGAGGCTTCATTTACATTCTGTTAGACCATTTATTATTGTGCAATAGGTCTTGAAAGCTTGATTCTCTTTTCCCTGACTCTCTTCATTTTGTATTTTAATGACATCAGCTTATTCATATATTTTCAAGTGTATTATTTCTTTCCTCAGCTGTTTTAAGTCTAGTGGTTGGTGCATCAAAAAAATTTTCCTCTGATACTTTTTTCTAGCATTCCCTCTTGATTTCCATTTGACCATCAAAGCTTTCATATCCTTGCTGAAATTCCCCATCTGTTTATGTCTGTAGTTTATCTTTTCCAATTAGATATTTTAACATATTAGTCTGAATTATTTAAAAATTACTGTTTGATTCTTCCAGTGTCAGGGTCATGTTGAATCTAGTTCTCTTGATTGTGTTGACTTTTCTCCTTACTCATTTTTGTTTGTTTTTCATTTTTCTTGTATGTGTGGTTTATAATTTGTGATTGAATGCCAGAGATCATGTATATAATAGTGAAAACCAAAGTATTATTTTTTCCTGGAAATGGGCATGCCTTTTTGTCAGTTAGTGTGGGAACTCAAATGAATGTAATCACAACTTGAACTAGATTTGGGTTTTACTGTTGTTACTGTTACTTTCAGTGCTCTTTGGCTTTCAAATTCCTCTACAGTTGGCCTGCTAATTCCTTGTGCTGATATTTTAGTGTCTATAATGATTTTAGATTATTGGTTTGATTCTGGTTTTTGTTTCTCCCTGGACCCACAAGTAGCCCCTTGGATGTCAGAGAGTTTTTCTTCCATGTTCTTAACTCCCTGTCAGGTTTCAGTTGCTGTATATCTGTACTGCAGAGGGTTCTTCCTCCAGTGGTGGGCAACTATCACTAGCTATTCAGTTCTAGACTTATAGTGGGGGCAGGGCTGTTTTCTCTTACTCTTTCCTGGCCTTGTCTTAGGTAAAGTTGCACTTAGGTAAACCTCACATCTGTGGTTTTCTTGAGCAGGACTTTCCTGCCCATGACTAAGTGGGACCAGACCTCTGCTTGTTATAGGAGTCAGATATTAGGCCAAAGAAAGTTTAGTGCCCTTCTCCATGGGAAGAAATTTTTCTGCTACCTTTCTGCATGTAGCAATTACCTTTGCATCTATTCTGCATGTCAGAGAGATTCCTATCCTCTGAGAATGGTTTTGCTTCTTTCTACTCCACCCCCTTAAAGCTGTGGATCATTGACTGTTTTCTAACATCAGGAGGATTTGTTGGTCTCTCCTCAAACAACTTAAAAGTTTTGCTTTGTAATAGAAATAGATTATGGAAATAGACAGGACTTTGTGCCCACCTCCAGCAACCATGGGGTACCTCATTTTCACCTGCACGGCAGGAAAAGTCTTGTCCCTAAACTTTCTTAGAGCACTCAGAGAAGGCCCAAGGGAAGATCTTGCTCATAAGTAGAATTTCCCCTTGTGTCTTAGACAACCAAACAGACACCAGGCCTTTAACAATTTGTTAAAATTTTAGCTGACCTCTTCTTGTCCATTTGCCTGGTGTCCACAACTTTTACCTCTGCCCTGCCAAGGGTGAAATGGTCTGTGTGTTTTGTTTCTCCTTGGAGAATTTTTTGCTCTTTGGAATTCAGGTTACTTTATTACCTTGTGACCTCATGTTTGATATAATCAAGAAGAGTTTTGTTTTTGTAGAGTGTACAGATTTTTTCTTTTTAGTATAGGAGTTATATTGTTTGCAGCTGTCTATATTCTAATTGGAAGTGAAATTCTCTAGGTATCAATGTATTTTTAAAGTTCCTCAGGGTGATGCTAATCAACGAAAAATTTAAGGACATTTCTAGGAAAAAGAATTTCTTAGGAAATAAATCTGCTCTATAGAGTTGTTGTTAGTGTGAGTGTTATTAGGATTATACAAGTAATTTCTAAGGAAGTCTTCCACTATCTTCAAAATGGAACATTTGAAGTTTAGAACAGAAGTTACTAGGGAATATAGATTTACTTGTTTCTCTCAATCAATTCTGTAGTTTTCTGGTCTTTGGCTACAAATTCTTCTTTACCTTCTCATCATTAACATAATTATCAGAAGGGAAAATATTTGCCTACTTTTTTCCCACACAAAGGGTTGGAAGCTGTAGTCTGATTTCCAAGGGTCATATGTGTACTAAATAACCAATCAAGATCCTCAATTACTCTGGACAAAGAAAGCATTTTGGCACTCAAGAAGAGAATCTATAACCATGTCTCTTTCTTAGTGCATGTATTTCCCATTGGCAGAATCGCATTGCAAAGCGCAGCAGGAAACTGGTGGACTATGACAGTGCCCGTCACCATCTGGAAGCTTTGCAGAGCTCCAAGAGAAAGGACGAGAGTCGGATCTCTAAGGTACATCCTGAGTCCCCTGATGAAATCACTCTCCATATATTGTGACCTACAGCAATTTTGCTTCTTAGGATTAAAGGATTCCTTTTTTAAAAAGGTTGGACTAAGGATAGAATTTAAACAGAAACATGGTACTGTAGACTGCTTTCCATACTTAATCAATGCCATATTAATTAAAAATCAGTTTTTTCACATTTTTGTGAAGTTTGCATGAGTGATCCTGACTCGTGCATTTTGATCCAAATGTATTTTGGTCCCCAACAGTATTGTAGGATCAAAGAAAATAACACGTGTTCCTGAACTTCTTTCTGTGGCTGTGTTCCATATTTGATGCTAAAATGCATACTCAGATGGGAAACCAAGTTTGAAATTCTCAAACATCACTTTTGATTGTCTAAGAATACACACATATACACACACACGTATATACTATATTTGGACAACATTCCTTAGAAAACCCATTTAAGTAGCTTTTACCATGTAAGTCAGTCATTTACAGATGCCAACTAACTGATAACATCAGCTACCTTCTCCCTCTGCTCTAGTCTTGCTTCTTCCTCTCTGCCTACACACAGTGAATGGTTTTTCCACATCATATAGTCAATCTGCCTCTCTACTGCTTAAGTCTCTTACTAGCACCCATTGCTTGTAGAAATAAAAATTCTAAATACCTTGGAACAAAATAGATGAGCTTCACAATTTCATTATTACTTGTCTATCCATCATTATTAACTTTAAGGTCTTATTTTGCTCCCTTTCCTTCTGACATCCCAAGCTTGAGCCTTCACGACTTACGTGTCAGGTACCGGCCAGTCACAGTCGCAGGTTCCCTTGTGCAAGTCTCTACAGACGCAGGCACCATGTCAGCACTTCATATACATCCCCTTACTACTCACAACACTTGTAAGGTCGACATTACTAAGTCCACCTGACAAGTTCACACAGTCAGTGAGTTAAATTCAAACCCGAGGAACTCCATCTTTATGCATTGTGGTGCGTGCTCCCCCCACCCTTCTTTAACAAACATTTGCTTTTTCTTCAAGATTCAGTTAAGGGGAGGGTGAGGGCAAGGGATCAAATCGGAGGGGAAAGCACAAAAGTCTATGGTGATGGTTCACAGGTGTCTTGGTGGTGGGAATTTTATGGGGACTACACCTCATAGGAGAACTCAAACATTTACAAAAATGAACAACAATGTAAAAATTATAAATAAATAAAAAGACTCAGTTAAAATATTGCCTTCATTGTGAAACCTCGTTCCCTGTACCATGTTCCCCATAACATTCAGAGCATATTGTAAGTCCTATCTTGCAATTAGACTTCCAGCTAGGCTGGGTTTCTTAGGAAAAATCTATGTCCTGTATCCAGAGCAGAGTAGTACTTGTGACAGGCAGTTAATGCGTGTTTGCAGAATGAAAAAAAGTGCCAGAGCTTGCACGAAAAATCAGTATCATCAACTCATTGGAATCAATTCATTGTAATGAATTCAGTTATGTAATGAGATTTAACATTTCACTTTTACTGAAAATAAATAAATGTGAATTTTAACCACATTTCTTTCTTTCCCAAAATATTTCTAAGATGCCATCACACTATCCTATTTTATATTAAATGATGTAAATAAAATTATTTGTGTTTATGTGATAGTCTTTAAACACATTGTTATGTGTCATTTCTAGGCAGAAGAGGAATTTCAAAAAGCACAGAAAGTGTTTGAAGAGTTTAATGTTGATTTACAAGAAGAGTTACCATCGTTATGGTCACGGTAAAGGTGTTTCTGTACAGATTTTGTAGAGAACTTTTACTACTTATAGAAGTGGTAGTTACTCTTCTTGCGTCATGTGATGGGTTGTTGCACACTTAGAATACGCCTAATGTGACCAGAGAACTGAACTTTAAATTAAATATATTTTGTTCTAATTTATTTGAATTTATTTTTTAAACATTTATTTTTATGGGCCTCCCCTGGTGGTGCAGTGGTTGAGCGCTGGGTTGCAAGGCTGCCCGCAGCCTCTGCAGCGATAGTTCAATCCCTGGCCACCGGTGAGGGTCTCACCAAAAAAAAAAAAAAAAAATTCAGTTTTATTTGTATGCATACATAAATCTTTAAAAAAATAAATATTTTTTTTTAATGTATGCATACATGAACTGGGGTATGGGCCAGAAGTGCAGAGTGTGAGAAGATTCACCAGAGAGAGTGTGGAGAACAGAACAAGTAGATCTACTGAAATAACTGCTGAGGGGAGCAGCAAGTGAGACAGGAGAGGTCTGCTGTGCCATGTGGTTTAGCTCCATGGCCGGGAATTGAGCTCATATCACAGTGGCTGGCAATAGCTTGATAGCCCTGAGGGTTTAACCCCTGCGCCACCAGAAAGGCCTTAATTTATTAGAATTTAAATAATGCCATGTGGCCCGCAGCTATCAATATTGGGTAGTACAATTTTAATATTTATAATATTTCTTAAATGGAATTCCAGGTATCAGAACTGCCCTTGAACTTGCAATTTGCAAGGTTAACCTTACTGTATAGAAATTAGAGGACTTCTGTTTGTCCTATAAAACTAAGCATGCTGTGGATCTGGACTAGAGTTTGTCCATTTTTATTTAGCATTCTCAATATTTTGTCAATATTAGACAGTCGGTATTCATTTTTGAGCTATCTGACTGTTTAGAGGAAATTTTAACTAGCTCACTATAAAACTAATCTGTAAAGACATGCTCACTTCATTGTGCGGCGATAACTGAAAGTTCAACATGTATATTAACTTATTTCTTATCTGAATTACACGTTCTTTCAACATCCACATTTAACTTTTTGGTGCCATCACTGCTGGGCTTTCAGCCTCAGAACTTTGGAGTCATTTTTAACATGGGAAATGAAAGGGTCCTCAAAGGAAACAATTGATCCTTTTTCAGTGTGGTTTCTGGCTTGGCCACACACTGAGCTCAGTGCTACCACCCTGATCTCATCCTCCTCATGTGGGTTATATGGTATCTTGACTTCACATTTCTGACATTGACTCACGCTGTAGATCTCTTCATTCAAGCTCCAACTTCACATCTCTGTGGTCTGCAGGAACTTTATGTGCTCCAAGATTGCCCCTGTTCTTTCAGGATTTTGATAGCCTGAATATAAAAACTTTTAGGGATAGTTGAGGCAAATATTCATTTATAATTTTAATTTATCTTACTCACTTAAAGTTATATGACATGTGTTTTTCAAGAATTTTTTTCTAAAATTTCAAAAAAATTTGTATCCAAGATACATTTTTTTTTTAATTTTCTTTATTGAGGTGATGTTGGTTTATACTGTTGCTCCTATTTTAGAAGGATAGTATCCCCCTTTGCAGTAATGTTACTATGGTGCTCCCACCACCAAAACAACCCTAGTCACTACCACAGTCCATTGTACCCCCTCCCTAATTTATTATCACCCTTACCCTTTCCTTCTGCTTTTGGATAGACCTGAATGCCTCAGTTCTGTAGTCTGCTTTCAAGGGTAGTTTTCGAATGTGACTTTATCTGACCATTTGTCTGGTTTCTCTGTATTCTACATATACGAATGTAACTTTACCTGACTGTTTGTCTGTTTTCTCTGTATTCCACATATTAGTGACACCATCAGTGTTTATGTTTCACCTTCTAATTTATTTTGCTCAACATAATCCCTTTTAGCTCCATCCATGTTGCTGCAAATGACATGATTTTATCTTTTTGGCAGCTGAATAGTATTCCGCTGTGATATGTACTGTAACTTTTTTTGGTATTCGTTATTTTTTATTTATTTATTTGTTTGTTTGTTTGTTTATTTATTTATTTATTTATTTATTTATTTATTTATTTTACATTGCTGTTCATTTTTTTGTATGATATTTACTTTCTGCCCTCAGGTGTAATTCCTGTAAAATCCCCACCACCAAATCACCTGTGAACCATCACCATAGACTCTTTTACTCTTCCTTCCCATTTTTTTTTAAATACTTTTGTTTTGAAGTTTCTTAACATCCTGTTTATTTTTTTTTTTAAGGATTTATTTATTTTAGTTATACAGCACTGGGTACAGTCAGAAGTGTGGGAGGGTGAGAGAATTCACCCGAGCCAGAGTGGGGAGCACAACAGGCAGACTGATGAAATACACTGCTGAGGGGAGCAGCGGGCACTGCAGGAGAGGTCTGCGTGCCATGTGGGACTCTCGCCTGTGGCTGGGGATCGAACCAGCGCTGCAGACGCTACGGGCAGCTTTGCAGCCCAGCACTCAACCGCTGCGCCACCAGGGGAGGCCCATCTTCCCCTGTTTTGATCCCTTTACCTGCCCCACCCCTGATGTAGGTCCTGTTTATGGTTTGCCTGCTAGTTTTGTCTTTTGTTTTTCTGTCCCCTTTTTTGGTTTCCCTATATTCCTCCTATAAGTGAAACCGTTCGATATTTTTCTTTATCCTTCTGACTTATTTCGCTGAGCATAATCCCTTCCAGCTCCATCCATATTGTTGCAAATGGCATGAGTTTATTTTTGATGGCTGAATAGTATTCCATTTTGTGTATATACCATATATTCTTGATCTAATCATCTGTTTTTTTTGGCATTTAGCTTGTTTCTATGTCATACCTATTGTAAATAGTGCTGTAATAAACATAGACATGTAGGTTTCCTTTCAAATTAATGTTTTTGTGTCCTTTGGATAGATTCCTAGGAGTGGAATTGTTGGGTCATATGGTAGATCCATTTTTAATAATTTGAGGGTCCACCACACAGCTTGGTTTGACTATTTTATATTCCCAGCAATATAAGAGAATTCCTTTTTCTCTGCATCCTCACCAGCATTAGTTGTTAGTTTTTTAAATTTTTAAAATTTATTTTTATTTATTTATCTATCTATCTATTTATTTATTTATTTATCTGTTTATTTATTTATTTATTTATACAAGCACTGGGTACAGTCAGAAGTGCAGGAGGGTGAGAGAATTCACCAGAGTCAGAGGAAGTAGCAGAACAGGCAGAAGGACCGAAGTATACTGCTGAGGGGAGCAGTGGGCGGCAGGAGAGGTCTGCGCGCCATGTGGGACCCTCGCCCGGTGGCCGGGGATCGAACCGGCGATGCAGAGGCTGCAGGCAGCTTTGCAGCCCAGCGCTCAACCCGCTGCGTCACCTGGGAGGCCCTAGTTGTTAGTTTTTTTAATGCAGGCCATTGTTACTGGTGCAAGGTGATATCTCATTGTGGTTTTGATTTACATTTCCCTGATTATAAGAAATGTTGAGCATTTATGCCTGTTGGACATCTGCATTTCCTTTTTGGAGAAGTGTCTCTTTGGTTCTTCTGCCTATTTTTTGACTGAGTTGTTTGTTTTTGTTGAGTTGTGTAAACTCTTTGTAGATCTTTGATATAAGTCCCTTATCTGTTGTATAGTGTACAAATATTTTTGTTGAACTTTGTATTTGCGTGGTATGATTTTATGTTGTTTATGTACATAATCTTTAATTACCATAACTACAGATGTCCCCATATTACAGATGTAAAAGCTAAGCATGATTAAATCTCTCATCTAACACTGTAAAATTTATGAATGCTGAAGCTGGCATTTAAAAACACTCCTGTGGGGCCTCCCCAGTGGCGCAGTGGTTGAGCGCTGGGTTGCGAAGCTGCCCGCAGCCTCTGCAGCACTGGTTCGATCCCCGGCTGCTCCCGGGCCACTGGAGGAGGGTCCCACATGGTGTGCAGACCTCTCTTGCCACCTGCTGCTCCCCTCAGCAGTGCACTTTGGTCCTTCTGCCTGCTCTGCTCCCTGCTCTGGCTATGGTGAATTCTCTCACCCTCCCACACTTGTGACTGTACCCAGAGCTTGTATAAATAAATAAATAAATCTTTTAAAAAATTTAAAAAAATAAATAAAAACACTCCTGTGTTTTTTTTCCCTGTAATCCCTGACATCTGTATTAAGACTTTATCCAAATTAAAATTGCATCCAGTCTTTCTTCAATAGTTTAATGCATATTTTCCTTCTAGCCATTTTTCTCTGCCTTGAAATTGAAGTTAGTACTTTGTATCTTCTTTCCTTCTACAGTGAAATACTTAATATATTGGACATGTAGAAATGAACATTTATTAACTAGTAAATGTGTGAGATACTGCATCAAACTGTTCATAATTACTCAAAATGTTAGATGGGTTGCTCTATAACTATTTGTTTTATCTAGTTTTTCTATAGCATTCTTCAGTCTTTTGTTTCCTTATTGATCTTCTGTCTAGTTGCTCTATTTTTTATTGAAAACTATTGAATTTTACAACTATTATTGATAAAATATATCTATTTAATAGTAAGCTTTGGCTTAATGTATTTTGGGGCTTTTTCTTATACAGATGTATATATTTTATGTATATTCATAATTGGTGTATCTTGATGAATTGACCGTTTTATATATATAAAATGATCTATCTGTGTCTTATAACAAATATAATCAGTTCATTTTCAGGTATTCTTTACCTGAATGAACTTTTTTTTGCTATGGATCTGTCTGTGTCTTTAGGGTGTGTCTCTTGTAGGCAGTATGTACATCTAGCGTGTACATCTACTATAGAGTTAAGTGTTTTCAGTATGTTTTCTTTTCTTTTTTTTGTTCCTCTATTCTTCCACTGTTGCCATTCTTAGAAAACTGTCTCAAATTTCTTATGTATAAGGAAGAAGAGAAATGAAGTACTACCTAAAGGAAGAGGTAGAAAAACACTAATTTGAAGGGACATATGCACTCCTATGTTCATCACAGCACTT